TAAATTATATTCATTACATATATTAATATATACATACAAATAGACTTTTTTTCAAGTTAAATATTAACTTGGAAATGTGAAAATATTATTTAATAATTTATCAATCTTTAGATAAATTTAAATTGTATGTAATTAGATATATCTAAATATGAGACAACCACTTAAATTTTCTACAGGAAAGCAATTTTAAAGAAATAATCCATTGAAATCTTACCTGGGGTACTGTTGAAGTTGCCACAAAGACCACAAGTAGCATATTGCTTATGAAGAGTGAGCTTCAAAATAAATGACATTTGTATGTTTAGAAAATATTGAACATTTCCCAAGACAAAATTGACTTAAAACAAAAGACAGATCCTCCACATATTCAAATCTTCCAATGGATACACTAGTGGGCATTTTTAAAGGACCAGACTCTAGAATGTGACATGGATTCCAACTCTACCACTTAATGGTTATATGCCTTTGGAAAGATTATTGAACTTTCTATAGACTGTATCTCCTGAGTTTCATAATCTATAAAACTAGACTAATAATAAAATATACTTCAATGTATTTTGAATATTAAGTGATATAATACATGTGCAGTGATCAATGCATAGAGTTCTCAAAAAATATTAGCTCTGTTTTCCTTTTAATGTATTATTTTTACAATTGAAAGCAAAAAATAAAAGGCACAAGAAAACCAGAGATTGACTTACCGAGAGAGTGTTATGTTTGCCCCACATTAAAGAGAGGATTCCTCTACGGCTATTCAAGATATTATGTTCTCCATATTTTTTAATGTGAATCAGCTTATTATTATATGGTATCTGTACACTGTAAAATAAAAAACCACAAGTTCATATTAAATGTAGAAAAAGTATTCTAATAGGCATATATCCTTCTGATAATTCATGTTTCTATATTTAATATCTTATAAATATAATACTGAGGAGGGCACTATGGTTCTGTAGGATAAGCACTGGGTTCCTAAACACAAAGTTGGTGGTTCAAACCCAGCAGCAGCTCATGAGAAAAAGAGGAGGCTTTCTGCTCCCCCCAAGAGATTTATAGTCTTGGAAATCCTATATAGGGTTGCTATGAGTCCGAACAGACTCAATGGCATGCAGCAACAACAAATACAATACTAGCTTATTAATATTAATTTTTTCCTGACATTTTGAAAGAGGAGACACAATAATTTTTTCCCAATAATTGAGGCTGTTGGTGGTGGTTCAGTGCCACCAAGTCAGTTCCAGCTGATAGCTACTCTGGATAGAGTTCGAAGGCTAGTTAAAACTTCACAGGAGCAGAAAGGCTCATTTTTCTCCCACGGAGCAACTGGTAAATTTGAACTGCTGACCTTGCAGTTATCAGTCCAGTGTATAATCCACTATGCTACCAGGGGACCTTAATAAATGAGGTACTTTTCTGGAAAAGTAAATAAATCTCTGGTGCTTTGTAGAAATGAAGAAGGTGAAACATTAGACCACTATACAGAAAAAGAATCAAATGATAAAAATTGTCCCCTAGGAAAATATGTTTCATTTTCATACAAAATACCCAAGCATATCTTCCCTGCTCAAAGCACTTAAATATATTATAGCAATATGAATTGTTACTTCTAAAAATAATGTAAAATCATAAACCTGAATTTAATATCCAACATGCAAATAAAATTGAAATATTCTACTAAATTTTGTTAAATATACATGTTATCTAAAATCTAGAACAAATTTTAATTTCTTATAACCTCAAATATACTAAACCTTTGTACACTTATCAAACTCCTGTCTGAGAATTTATTACATATATCAATACAAAGATCAAAGTAGAAGGAAAGTAATATATCTTTCCTATTCAACTTCTTAGTTTTATTTTTTACTCAGCTTACACCAAATAATTCTATAGTGTTTATCCACTATATTATGGCATTTACCTTTCTCCATTAACCAAAATGGTATCACCAGAAATAGAGATGTAATTATTGTCAATTAAAACTGCTATGTTTTCAATCACATTCTCATTGTTTCGTTTGACCTCAATATTGAAATCTCCTCCAGATTCAATGCAGTGACGGCAGAAAGTGTATGCACATGAAGACTCAAAGGAAAAGATGTGGCCATTGAATGCTTTGTAAGTTCCTTTGCCCCAAGTAGATGTTTCACCTATAAGACAAGCAGAGTAGAATTTCATATTCATATGGAACAAATGATGTATCTTCTCGTTCTGATTTTTCCTTTAATTTATATACCAAGAAAAAAATTATTGAAAAATTCTATTCTCATAGTCACCACTCTATATCAATGCATTTGTTCTGTCACTACTGTCAAAACTGTTAACAGTAGTATCTCTTTGTTGTTGCTGTTGTTAAGTGTTACCAAGTCAGTTCCAACCCAGAGCGACCCGATATAGGGTTTCCAAGGAGTAGCTGGTGAGCTTGAACCACTGACCTTGACATTCAAGCTGACTTTGCAGTCCAGCACATTAAACCACGGCACCACACCAGGACTCAGTACTTCTTTAGATTAACCAAAGAAATAAAACAAGAATTGTTATTGCTCAGTGCCATGGAGTCAGTTCCTACTCATAGTGATCCTGTATAGGCCTTCTGAAGAGTTAGCTGGTGTGCTTGAACTGCCAACCTTGTGCTTATCCTACAGTGCCAAACCAGGATTCCAAGACAAGAATTGTTGTTGTTGGGTACCATTGAGTCAGTTCAACTCATAGCAACTCTATGCATAACAGAACAAAACAATGCCCAGTCCTCCCTTGACATCTTTAGGCCTCCCCCGTCCAAATCAAACCAGTTGCCCTTGGGTCAATTCTGACTCATGGCAACTACATGTGTGACAGAGCATAAGTTTTTTAATGGCACCAAGGAGTCCTGGTATGGTGCTGTGGGTTAATGCCCTGGACTGCAAAGTTGGTTTGAACCACAGGTTCAGCGGTTCAAGCTCATCAGCCACTCCTTGGAAACCCTATAAAGGGTTGCTATGGGTCAGAACCAACTCTATGGCACTAAACAACAACAACAACAATAGGATTTTTAATGATTGTGACTTTTGGAAATAGAAAGTGACGCATTTCTTCTGAGGTGCCTCTGATGTATTTGAGCCATCATCCTGCCAGCTAGACCACTTGAGCCACCTACAGACTCCTTAGGTATCCCATAAAGGCTTAATTAAGCCTTTATAAGTTCAAGTTCCCCTGTTCTCACCAGGTAAGCCCCTCACTCAGTTGGAAAGACTCCCTCTCAGCTAGTGGTCTTATCTGGTGTCCCACTGAGCTCTACTTGCTTCTCAACCTAACGATTCATCTGTGCTGGAAGTGACCACAAGTATATTTGAGTTTCAAACTGGAAAATCACAGCCAGCTAAGGGTAGTATTTGTCTAATGTCGATGACCTTTGTTCTGCCATCTCTTAAGCAGTATTTGTTGTTGTGTTATTAAGTGTTTTGTAGAGATAATTTTTCTAATTTTGTCTTTAACTTGGTATTTAATGAGTTTAAAGACAGATTGTTGTTAAGTGCCGTGGATTCTGACTCAAAGCAACCCTGTACAGGGTTTCCAAGCAGCAGCTGGTGCCTTTGAACTACTGATCTTGTGATTAGCAGTCAATGGGAAAACAATACAAATGTGCTCATCAAATGAAAAGTAGTTAACACAAGTGATGAGCAAGTTTTCAAAACTAGTTTAAAAATTCAGCTACTCTGTCGCCTCAGTCAGTATTGCTTCAGGCATAAAAATAATAAGGAAAATCAGTGTCATTTTTACTTACCAACAATTGCATTTGTCTCAGAGTACATTGGAGTTGCTTCTGGAATATGGGATTTTTTTTCTATTCAAAACAAAGCATACATGATTTTAACTTCTAAACAATATACTGATCTTAAATATATATGATATACATGGGAATTTAGAAGTTGGTATTAAAGGCCATCATTGAATTTCTTTATCCTTAACATATAAGTTTAATCTGACTTGGTCAGCACCGGAATTTTCCAAGGTCACATATATGATTATCTCTTCAGTCCATATTTTTTCTGGGGACAATCAGCCATAATATGTTCAGGAACTGTTAACAGTTTATGCTTACTTACCTGTACTTTATTGACTATGCAAGGGCTTTCGATTGTGTGGATCATGACAAACTATAGACAACATTGAGAAGTATGAGTGTTCCTGAACACTTAATTGTGCTCATGAGTAATCTGTACATGGACCAAGAGGCAGTTGCTCGAACAGAACACAGGAACACTGAATGGTTTTAAATTAAGAAAGGTGTGAGATAGGGTTGTATTCTTCACCATACTTATTCAAACTGTATGGTGAGCAAATAATACGACAAGCTGGGTTCTATGAAGAAAAATATGCCATTAGAATTGGAGGAAGACTCATTAACAACCTGAGATATGCAAATGATACAACCTTGCTTGCTGAAAGTAAAGAAGATGTAAAACATTTACCGATGAAGATCAAAGAGCACAGCTTTCGGTATGGATTGCATCTCAATGTAAAGCAAACAAAGAAAAGAGTGAAGTTATCAAGGACTTCATTCTTCTTGGATCAACTATCAACATTCATGGAAGCAGCAGTCAAGCAATCAGATGAAATATTCATTAGGCAAATCTGCTGTAAAAGACCTTTTTAAAGTGTTGAAGAGCAAAGATGTCAGCTTGAGAACTAAGGTGCACCTGACCCAAGCCATGGTATTTTCAATAATCTCATATGCATGCGAAAGCTGGACAGTGAATAAGGACGACAGTAGAGAAATTAATACATTTGAGTTATGATGTTGGAGGAGAATATTGAAAGTGCCATGGGCTGCCAAAAGACCCAATAGAACTATTTTGGAAGAAGTACAGCCAGAGTGCTCCTTGGGGGCCAAGATGCCCAAACTTCATCTCTCATACTTCGAACATATTGTCAGGAGGGACCAGTTGCTGGAGAAGGATATCATGTTTTGTAAGATGGAAGGTCAGAGAAAAAGAGGAAGACCACCAGCAAGATGGATTGGCAAAGTGGCAGCATCAATGGGCTCAAGTGTGTCAACAATTGTGAGGTTGGCTCAGGACTGGGCAGTGTTTCATTCTGTTGTACATAGGGTAGCTATGAGTCGGTACCAACTTGATGGCATGAACCATAACTACTTAGTACTTTTTCAACCTCAAAACCAACACTTTGCTAACCCATTTTTAGGATCAGGAGTTTAAGTGCTTGGAAGTTGGTGCTTATCAGTCACCCCACAGGAAAATGAATTGTCAGTTTGCTGCCATAAAAATGTGTAGCCTTGGAAATTCTATGGGGCAGCTCTACTCTGTCTTACAGGGTCACTGTGAGTTAAAATTCACTTGATGGCAGTTGGGTTTAGCCCATTCTTATTGGCTGTCACTACTTGAATAGTCCAAGGTTGATTACATTAAATCAGCCTATTAACTAATATGTTGTTGTTGTTGTTAAGTGCTATCGAGTCAGTTCTGACTCACAGTGACCCTTCATAGAGTTTCCAAGGAGCTGCTGGTGAATTTGAACTGCCAAACTTGTGGTTCAAATCGACCTGGAAGTCCAGTGTTTATCCTACAGTGCCACACCAGGACTCTTAACAAATATACTAACATAAATTATCTGTATATGAGAAGAATTAAACTATGCAACAAAAAGAAAAATCTGTAAACCTCAAAACCTTGTTTCTCAAGATTGTTTTCATTCTAATATCCTGACCTTTACATGTCAACAAGTGTATTTATATGAACTCCTGATGCAAGGCCTAAAGGCAATCAGAACAAAACAATAGCAACAAAATAGAATATTTCAGTAGAATTTTAAAACACATTTCACAGTGAAATTATTGTATTTCTTGAGGTCACTTGGCATTTCTACAAGTTGCTTTTACTCAGGTTGAGTAAAAGTGGATGTAACTCCTAATTTATTTATTTGTTGTTGTTGTGAAGTGTCGTTTAGTCATCTCCAACCCATAACAACACTATATAGTGTTTCCAAGGAGTGACTGGTGAGCTTGAACTGCTGACCTTGCGGTTCAAACCAACTTTGCAGTCCAGTGCATTAAGCCACGGTGCCACACCAGGACTCAAATTGATTTATTAGGTCATTTGTAAAAATAATGTGTCTAAAATTATAAAGAAGAAGGCACATACGTTTTACTCAGCTTCCCTTCAAATATATTTTCAACTCTTTTTCTTATGGCATTTTTTTCAAATTTCCTATTAATTATTTCAGAAGTGGCACTGTAGATAAGCAGTGATTCAAACCCACTACCACTCTTCAAAAAGCCTATACAGGGTCACTATAAGTTGGAACCAATGCCATGGCACAGAACAACATTGGTTGTCTAAACACTAGTACTTGTTAGGCAGTTACAAGTTTATTATGTGAAATATGTGTAATAATATCAAGTTCTAGTAAATCAATTGTCAACAATATAATAAGAACTACATGCACATATATTTTTGTTTATTTGAATGCCAAAACAGTCATAAATCAAACTACCTGGCGTGCCTCGTTGTCCAGATGTACCGTAATCATATGAGCTTGTGACACCTATCATAATAGAAAAATGATTAGGCTTCTTTCTGTGTAGAATTTTACTTGGTTAGGTAAGGAGGAAAAATAGTTGATGAATAAATCATGAATCCAAGTTCAGCAAAGCTAACACTAGCAGACTGAGAATTATGTGAGGCTGTCTAAAAAGAAAAATGTTATCATTTCCATAAGCAGCTGAAGAAACAGAGTTAAATGCATTGCCACTAGATAAACTGACACCAAATTTATTCGTTGCAACTCAATTGCCTTAACAGTTGTCTGGAGAAAGATGGGTGGATAGGGGTTTGAGTAGTGAGGGCTCCAGATATCGGACCCCAACGCCAACAAAAGTTATGCCCACTTTAATTTGTTTTACATTTGGGGAATCTAAGTACCATGTCAAAGATCCAGGTACCGTTTCAAAGAACAAAGGATTCCACAATGATAGAAATTACAAATATCAAAACCATGAATATAGATATCCATATGCCTTCACAAATATCAAGACCTCTAGATCTCTTATTTCAAAGGCACTAAACTTAACTGCCATTAAATACACTACAAGAAAGAACACGAACTGATAGAAGTCTGTCTAATGTGGAAAAATCAAAACAGTCAGAACTTAACATTCAAATAGCAGAAAAATCTCAAATTGGCAACCACTCTTCCACAAAAATATTAAAAAGCAATTAATTCCTAATATATTCCTCAGGAATTAAGTCTGCATTTGTATATCCGAGCTAACAACAGATCTGGAAACTAAACATTCATTGTACCATTCGTACCAATTGTACATAAAGTTAATGGAAATAAATAATGGTGATTCCAATAATGATTTATTCATTACATTGAGTACTAAAACAAAAACTGATGTGCAAAGATTAAGAACTATCTAAAAGAAGATTATTAATTTTTTGGACAGATTCACTGAGAGAATTCCAAGTTAGGTTGGCCATCACTATACTATCTTACATCTCTTGATAATTGGATTTTAGTAAAGAAAAAGAAAGATAGTAATCTCAAATTTGATTTCTAAATATAAATAACAAATATCTGTCAGAACATCCATGTGATTAGAAATGGAGCCACTGCCCACAGTTTGGTGCCATCTACTCCGGTGGCACCTAAATCCATCAACATCAAAAGAGCTTTCACAAAGAGTATCAGCAAAAAACATTACTTCAACAAGCAAATATCACAAATTCCCAGACTATGCAATCTAATGTTGCTGTTGTTAAAACAAGAATCAAACTCATTTGCTCTTCTAAGGAATGGACCTGAAAAAACCTAAATCACCAAGTCCAGATCCATGATACAAGCTTCAGGCCAACAAATCAGCTGTTACTGTAGCTACCTGTTCAACTGACTCCAAATCATTTTTGGATTAAGGCTATAAAAATAATTCCATATCACTCATTTATGGCCACAAAACCAATTTCACATCCTAGGCCAACAAAATATTAAATGACTTTTGCCTGATCATATCTGAGTGCATCTCAACATTTCAGCATTCTGCTTTGCTTTAAATATTATCAGTAGTAATATTTATATTTAGAATGTTTATTACTATGAGAATCAGGTCACCAGTACCTGTACCACTAAGGCCAATTTCATCAATTTTGTTTAGTCCAGGTGCACCAATATCAAGTCCATCTGTACCCTTCCTTCTGCCACCACTTCCAGAACCAGAAGACCAAATGTTTCCTCCTAATGGAAAATCAAAATGTGATTAAAATAAAGAACAAGAGATGAATTTGTATTTCTTGGGAACAGAGTCCACTTTAGGATACCTGAGCCACTGACATCAGATCCAGCACTCATGGATCCAGACCCAGCAGATTCACTGCTACTCTCCCTATTTCCACCAATTTCACTGACTCCAAATCCCTGTTGGTCAGATGACCCCAAATTGAATCCTGAATCTTCAGAGACTCTGCCAGAATACACCGCCTCATTTCTTTCACTTGAGCCACCTGCTAAATATAAAATAATGGTCACAAGAATTATTTTCAATGCATATCATGATTCAGAATTTTTCCATATACTAAAATTAGCTACCAATACGTATGCCACTAGAACCAAAACTTCCAGAAACACATCATTTCCATCGAAGTCTTTACCCTAAGGTTATTTATATGAAATTGGTGTGCACCAGAATTACCAAAATCAAATTGCTAACTTCACCCATTTTTTTCTACAAGTCCAAACAAAGTACTAAGTGTTCCATTCCATGGATAAATGAATAAACAAATGAATAAATAAAAGAAGAATTACGAAAGTTTGGACTCAATAATAACCTCAAAAACAAAACAAAATAAAAAATCCATCTAATACAATGCCGAGTTACAGGTACAATTTGAAACCAATGGATCTAGCTCCAACATATATGCTTTTGTCTACTCCTCTATTAGGAGTCTACTACATCTAAATTCTTTATGATCAAACTATCTCCTAAATTTCCATATTGATCACAAACAACTTCATTCCTGTTTCTTCCACTAAAACTCTCACCAAAATATTAGTAGCTTATCACAAGAACACATTTCAACCAGTTTTCTGACTCAGGTATTAAATATCATCATGTAATCCATCAGACTAGATTCTCTAGTACCTTTTATTCCATTTTCACTAAATTGATTGCCACCAATTGGATTTGAAATAGAATTGCTATAACCAAATTTAGCTTTACCCTTTCTTTCTCCAGATCCAGTACCAAATAACCAGCTCTTGTCCAATAACAAAGAAATAAAAATGGTACTAAAATAACTGAAAAAAGGTAGAAATAAACTTAGATTTCACCAGAACAGAGTCCAGAATGAGACTACCTGAGCCTCTGGCTTCAGATCCACTGATGCCCATGCCACCGCCATTAGGTTCACGGCTTCCAACTCCCTTTTGTACCAGATGGTTCAAAAACAAATCTCAAATTTCCAGATGAGTCTCTCAAAAAATTGTCTCTAGTCCTTTCACTGGTACCACGTATACAGTATAAAATGATTTTTAATGGAACACATATTGAGATATTTAAGACTCAAAAATATTTCATGAACAGATGATACAAATATCGCCACCTAAACCATAAGAACGTCATTTTCTAGTACCTTTTATTTCATTTTTGCTAAATCCAATGTCACCAACTTGGTTAGAACTCAAATCTCCAGAAGCAAATTTAGCTTCACCCTTTCTTTCTCCATATCCCAAACCAGATGACCAGTGGTTTCCCACTATTGGAGAAATAAAAGAGGTATTAAAACAAGAGAAGAAAGGTGGGAATCAATTTCGATTTCTCCAGAACAGAGTCCAGAATGAGACTACCTGAGCTTCTGGCATCAAATCCACTGATGCTCACGCCACCTCCACTAGGTTCACTGCTTCCAATTCCATTTGCACCAGATGGTTCAAAAACAATCCCAAATTTCTAGATGAATCACTCAAAAATTGTCTCTAGCTCTTTCACTGATACCACCCACAGAGTAGAAAAGGATTTTTAATAGAACACATTTTGAAACACTTAAGACTCAGAACTTTTCCATGCACACGTACTGAATATCGTCACTTAAACCATCAGATCTAGTTCACAAGTACCTTGTAATTCATTTTTGCTAAATCCATCATCACCAATTCGGTTTAAACCAAAATCTCCAGAAATAAAGCTAGTGTCACCCTGACTTTCTCCAGTTCTAAAACCAGAAGACCAGCGGTTTCCCACTCTCAGAGAAATACAATAGGTATTAAAATAAGAGAAAAAAGGTGAGAATCAATTTTGATTTCTCCAGAACAGAATCCAGAATGAGACTACCTGAACCTCTGGCATAAGATCCACTGCTGCTCACACCAATTTCTCCAGATCCACTGCTTCCAAACCGCTCTACACCAGATGTTTCAAAACCAAGTCCTGAATTTCCAGATGAGTCTCCCACAATATTACCCCTAGTTCTTGTACTGGTACCACCTGCAGAATGTAAATGAATTTTTAACAGGATATATGGGGGGTCTA